AATATTATTGAAATACAACAGTTTTTAAACTAAACCATTCGAAAAGCGATTACGGTAACATCTTTTGAACGAAAGAAAGCGAAAGTCATTGTTTTCGTCATGATTTTATCCCACTTTCCACTGTAATACGTATGTAATTTCAGGAAAAATATTACATTTCCGTGAATGTATTATATCAAGCACAATATGAATAGAATATCATTGTAATATATCAGAATTTTAACCAAAAACTATTAAAAAAACGAGTAACATCTCAAGAACATCGGAAGCTTAGGTAAAGTCTTTTGTTTTCGTCATGTATTTTATCCTATTTTACATTGAAATACGTCACGTTTCCACAAAACTACTATTTATCTCCGAGAATATATTCATTCAGGCGCAGTTTAGGTAAAATAGACGAGTGATGTAATAGTTTTTTAACTGAAAACGATTCGAAAAACATGTACCCTCTAGCCCTGTTCAAAGAGAGGACTGGGAGAAGCTGTTTGGTGCTGCAGACGATGACAAGGAAAATGATTTTGATGGATTTTAATGAAAATATTCAGAAATATGGTATCTTAGTATTTATTCAAGTCAATTAGGATAGAATATTATTGTAATACAACAGTTTTTGAACTGAAAACCATTTGAAAAGCGATTACGGTAACATCTTTTGAACGAAAGAAAGCGAAAGTCATTGTTTTCGTCACGATTTTATCCCACTTTCCACTGTAATACGTACGTTCAGCAAAAATATTACATTTCCGTGAATGCATTATATCAAGCACAGTATGAATAGAATACCATTGTAATATAACAATATTTTGAGTCCTACTCTTTGCATTTACAGAGTACTGTACAAGCCCATAATAATGGCTCCTAAAGTAGATAAACTTCGTTGTGTGAAGAGAAAGAAGAAATTGAGTGACAAACTTGAAATAATTAAGAAACTAGAACGTGGTGTGAGCAATACTGTTCTAATGGAAACATACGACATTGGAAAGTCTACAATTTATGATATATAAAAGGCAAAGAATAGAATTTAGAATTCACAGCTTTTTCATTAAAACTGCTCGTTTTGATAAATGAAGCATGCTATATTTGCAAATGAATAAACTATCAAAATGTACCTGTTCATTTCTTCTTTATTCTTCATTAAATTTGAATTTTAAAAGTACTGCCTGAGAATCCGGAAAATCCGAAAATCCGGACCGACCCAATCCCCAAGCAGTCCGGATTTTTGGACTTCTACTGTATTTCAATTAATCCCATATGTTATGTTGTTCACTTTACGCGTTTCTCACTTTCCGCAGTACCCTGTGGGTTGTATTAACCGCGTAAAGTGAGGGTTGACTGTATATATATATATATGTGTATATATATATATATATATATATATATATATATATATATATATATATATATATATATATATATATATAATATTCAGAAATTTCAGTGTGATTTCAAATGCCGCGCCATGGGCGATACTGAGTTTTCAAGGTTGACTGAGGAAGAGAGCGCTCTTGCACATAGTGAGAGGTTTTGGAACTAGGCCTATATGATAGTGAAATGTAGTTTACCGAATTAATAATGATGCGATTCATGAAGTTAAGGGACTATTATTAAATTTGAACTTATTATAGATCGGTTATCAGTCTGAATAATGTTACGGGTGTCCCAAGAAAGTTATTAGTAGGCGGAAAATATGTCACGTAGGCCTAAGCTAACGCCTTGGGTAGACACGAGGCTGGCTGGCTCAGTCAGATGACAGGGTGGAACAGAGAGGGCAGACTGTGCGTCAGAGAGGACGAAACGGTCCTGGTCTAGTCACCTGTGTTGCGTTATTGCATTATAACAAGTAAGTCTCATTCGATCTCAGGGCAGTGATAAAGTTAACTAGAGCTAACAGTGAGTTCATTTCAGGGTTTCCGTCAGAACCCACTTGACTGCGAGAGATTGACTGCTGTTTGAGACTGCCGTTGATGATTGATAATTAGCGATTGTCACAGTTGGAACGATCAGTGCAGGCTTGCGCGGGTCAGCGGGGATATCAAGGGATCTCTTGAGTGAACAAGTGCTCCCGACAACTAAAACGACACAGGACCAGCTTCAGCATTGGGTGATCAGTTCTTCCCACGTGGGTGCACAGCACCACGCGTTTTCAGTCAGCTAGAAGTATTATCTACTGGCTAGGGTCACCTGCTGGCATTCTCTCTTCCCGCCCATGGATGCACTGAGAGTACACTGAGGCCATCTGAGTAAATTAATGGTCACACACCGAGACCAGGAGTCTAGGGGATACCTAGAGAAATATTTTATCTCCCTTATTATGGGTGTATGTTGAGTTGGGTGGAGCATGGTTCACGGGTATTGGAGGAACCAGTAACATCTCAATAATAGTGATAATATTTTTGTGTGTAGTTAATACCATTTTTTCAGTTACTGATATTATCTTGACGTGTGTAGTTTAATATTTCTTACATACTTTTGATAGTATTGCTTTCTAATGTTTGTCACTAATTGAAACGAGTGATACTGTGATTTAGTTTCTTTAATGCATTTAATTTTTCTTTATAATTCAATCTCAGGTATAACTTTTGTTCCCCAGAGTAGTGTTTAAGTTAGGTTAGGAGGTGTTTATCTGTTGGGGTAATATAATTTTGTTGAGTGCCCTGAAGGCCTATTCAGGGTGGAATTAATAATTTCTCATTTTTTATACCATTTTCTCAATTGCCCTGAAGGCCTATTCAGGGTGGAATTAATAATTTCTTATTTTGTATACCATTTTCTCAGTGCTCGATATAATTTTGTTGAGTGCCCTTAAGGCCTATTCATTGTAGAGTTATTAATATTTTATTTTTTTAATACCATTTTCTCAGTGATTGATATTATTTTGTTGAAAACTCTTAAGGCCTGCATCTGTTGGTGTAACATAATTCTATTGAGTGCCCTTTAGGCCTATTCATGGTGGAATTAATAATTTCTTATTTTTTTATACCATTTCCTCAGTGATTGATATTATTTTGTTGAAAGCCCTTAAGGCCTGTTTCATGTCTTGCAAGCAACATTTCTTAATCCTTTGAATTTATTGCTGTCTAATGAGGCATTGTCTGAGTTTCTAATAATTTCAATATCATGTATAACTTTATTCCCCAGAGTAGTGTTTTAAGTTCAGGTTAAGAGTGCGCATATGTTGGTGTACCATTATTTGATTGTGTCTGTAGTGTTGGAGGGAATATAAGTGTCTAAATTTTATCAGTGTGTCTCATTCATACCAGTATGGCCTATCCTTCCACGGGTCACGGAGAATTCATTTTGTTAGTATAATTTAAGTGTTCTTGTTCTGGTTAGGTTTTTCTCAAAGGGGCGCTTCCACAGCAATTTTCATCTAATAATTAATAAACCCCAAGTCAAGTGAAATTTAGGTCAGTAATTCTGACGGTTATATATATATATATATATATATATATATATATATATATATATATATATATATATATATATATATATATATATATATATATATATATATATATATATATATATATATATATATATATATATATATATATATATATATATATATATATATATATATATATATATATATATATATATATATATATATATATATATATATATATATATATATATATATATATATATATATATATATATATATATATATATATATATATATATATATATATTTATTCATTTATTTCAGTGAAGACGAGCCCGAAAGGGTGAAAAACAACGTCATTCACTAAGTGACTTGAAAGCAGAGGATATTAGTCACTAACGATCTTCTGTCTTCCTAGATAGAAGACGAGCTGTGGTCGCCATGTTTGACCAGACCATATAAAAATTTGCCCCAAACACAATATCTGAAAGACATAAACAAAATAAAAGTCACTCAATTTCCTTACCTTGCTGAGATGTATAAATACCAAATATAAAATCCTCGAGGCACTTAGTATTTCAGCTATTATAACACAAATTAGCGAAGCCTTCTTTGTGCGTATCTACAGCTGATTCACCAGACAAGAAGATGACAGTAGCAATGCGTGTGATGGAGGGTGCGGGAGGCGTTTTGAGAATTGCAATTAAATGCCAGTTAGCGACGTGTCCTCCTAATATTACGTATTAAGTTATTGCTAGGCATTAACATACCTAGGTATTAAGCTCGACGTCACATTCTGGATTGAACAAAAATTCCAGTGGATGCCCATGGCTGCCTGGGTCTCCATGTAAGATCCTCTGCCACTTCCTCCCCTCAACTTATCTCCACCAGCAAACAGTTACCAAAAAATTGGTGATACAAAGGCTACAATTTCAATTAAAAAAAATGGAAAATAGTGCTCAGTGGTGAATATATGGGTCTGGGGAACCATCACTGGACCCCTCATTCCAGGGAACTTCTGCCAACCCAGTGAAGCTGGTAGTGGACACATGGAACTTAATGCCAAGTGGAACTGATCTCATTGAATACAGCCAAGAATTCTGACCTTCATGCTACAGTACAAATGAGGTCCCAGAGCATCATGGAAAAGGTCTTGCCATCACCAAGTGACCCCTACCATACTCTTGTCTGCTGTGAGATGAGACAGTAGATCCCAGGATGACAGTGTTGTAGAGCTACTAAAATCCACCTTTCAAAAGACACTCCATACACTGGGCCTCTCAGTTCTGTTCATCATCATGTCTCCAACTATCAGTTTGAGATATAGCTATTGCACCACCCTCACTAATGCCACCACTCATCCTGGAAGGGATCCTTGTCCACATGCAGGTGTCCAAAACCACCAGTGCCAGATTTACGTTTGTGAGAGGCCTATGTAGTTCAGGCCTAGGCCTAGAATAAAGGAAATTTATTTAAATTTTTACCTTAAACCTCTGATTATGCAATGGTGTACCCTAGCTTATATACACCACACCATCCATCCTAAAGGTTGCCAACTGCATACAACAACAGAAAAACTAACTAACCAGTGACATAAAAATAATACGAAAGAAGCTACCTTTTAATATTTTATTTTCCATATTGAAAGTTGGGTGCCCTGTTAGGCTACACACTCTGAACACTCCTTAACCCAGCCTTGACACCACACATCACAACTGCATCAGGGCTAAAATCAAAACCTCTCCAGCCACTAAGTAAACTGTTAGACCCTAGTTAACTTGTGTGTTCACCACATTTTTTCTCCTCTTTTTATACTAAAAGCTTTCATTAAACAACCTACTCCCCAATGCCACCAGATATAATATGTCACTTCTATTCATTGTGTATTTTTAGCATTTGACTGCTATTTTTTCTCAATAAACCATTAATCATATTATATTATTATATTGTAACCCAAAATTTGCTTCAGATCTGAACTATTACTCAGCCTGAGCACTGATGCCAAGAATGCCAATGCAGATGGCCTTATTCATCAGTTGCTGCAGCTTTGTCAGAAGTTCCTAATACTGTACACACAATATAGATCCTAGAGTAGCAGTATGGACTGCACGAGAGCCAATCTTAACAATAAAAGCAAATTTGTGCTATTGTACAGTTCTTACAACTGAAGACAGTGTCATTGTTTTAATTAAGAATTTGTCATTTTTTGTGTCTAATTTCCAAACTTGGGTTTATATTGAAATGTTTGGGAGTTTTGGGGCACCCTTTGGTTTTATATTACTTCGAAGAGTAAAGTGATATTTGTCCATAAGCTCTGTATACATACGACGTAAGGTTGCCACTTCCTCCTGTAGCCCTCCAACCAGTTGGTTCTTCTCATCAACAATTGTCTGTAAATAAAAAATGCAATTATTGGATATTTGTTTTCCATGATAAGATAGAAATGCAAAACATGCATCAAGCAGCTAGAAATATACATTTGTGGGACTGCATCTGCTCCAGCTAATCCAAACTTACAGTGGTCCCTCGGTTAACGAACGGTTTGGTGAACGAAATTTCGGTAAACGAATTACCTTCCATAAGAATCTTCAATTCGGTTAACGAACAAAAATTTTATTAACGAAATCCTTACAAACATCATGTTTTGTTGTGAGCGTCAGCTGATCAGCTGATGGGCTAGTCTGTCAATTCAGTAATCTGTTCTATGTTTACATTCGTTTTCAGTGGAATAAATATCAAGAAAATTGTGCTCTTTAATATTTGTGCATTTTTAAATTAAAATTATTGGTCATTCTAAAATTTAGCCATCCAAGCTCTGTCTACATAAAGTTTTTCAACTAATATTTTTGGCTCGATATATGGAACTTTATTCATTTATTGAAACTCCTTTATATGCGCACACTGTCCTAAGGGCAAAGCTGAACTGTACATGTAATCAAAATAATGTACAAAATGATTACAAAAATTTTTGTCTACTGCAAACTATTGCATATTTACATTCAAATTAATCACTCTCTTATAAGAATTCCAGCAATGTAAATTATATTCTCCCAGGCCACTTCTATGAAATTTTATAAGCAAAAAACAAAAACTCGATCTAAAGGATATAAATAAACAAATAAATACTTCACTAGACCTTCGGCGCTGACTGTCAAACATGTCACTGTCTACCCTCCCTCCCTCTCATGTGGTTATACAGTAGGCTTTAAGTTTTTATCTTAAATAATATCACAGACTAAAGTTAGGAGAATATAATTTGAATTGCTGGAATCCTTGCAAGACAGTGAATAATTTGAATATAAACGTCATATATTTTGCACAAGAGATAAACATTTTAGTACATTAGTGTACAGTACTGTAGTACATTTTATAATGTAAAGTTTTTCAACTGTATTTTTGGGTAAATTTACATAAATTTCTTCATTTATTTTAATTCATTTACATGCACACACCATACTAAAAGAAACGTAAAAGAAATATATGACCTTAGTGCAAAGCTGGAGTGTACATGTACGAAATGATTAAGGTACTAAAATTGTTATGTCTAGTGCAAATTATAGCTTGTTTATATTCAAATTAATCACTATCTTACAAGAATCCCAGCAATGTAAATTATATTCTCCACGGTCATTTCACTGACATTTTAAAATGAGAGAAGCTTAGTCACTTAAAGACTGTTAAATAAACACACATGAGACCTTTGGCTCCAACTGTCAAACATATCACCTCACCTCCTGCTCGCTCACTCCTTCATCCCTCTCCACCAGCCGGGGTATTAGACTTACAGTTTTTATCTTGAATAATATCTCACACTAAAGTTAGGAGAATATAATTTGCATTGCTAGAATCCTTGCAAGACAGAGAATAATTTGAATATAAACGTCATATATTTTGCACAAGAGATAAAAATTAATCACCTGTATCACATTACGGTAGTGATTTAAGAGTATGAGTGTATATGTGCGTATATATACAGTGGTCCCTCGGTTAACGAACTCAATTCGTTCCAGAGTGTCGTTCGTTAACCAAAAATTTTGTTAACCGAAACCATTGTTTCAATGAGATATTGGGTAATTGGTTCCAGCTCACAGAAAAGTATATACAAAGTAAAGGCAAAAATGCATAAAGTCAGAAACATTCCTAAAATTCCCCTAAATCGCCCTGATATCACTATAAATATATATATATATATATATATATATATATATATATATATATATATATATATATATATATATATATATATATATATATATATATATATATATATATATATATATATATATATATATATGCATATGCTGATAACCACAAGGAAAGAAGAAAACACGAAGTTCCCAAGCGCTTTCGTGTAATTCACATCTTCAGGGGTGAGTATAGACTAGAGAGAGTAATACAAATCAAGGTGTATATATACAGTCAACCCTCACTTTACGCGGTTAATGTAACCCACAGGGTACCACGGAAAGTGAGAAACGCGTAAAGTGAATAACATAACATATGGGATTAAATGAAATAGAGACCAGCTGACCCCCAAACTCCACTTTTTCCAACACAATACCTATGTTCTAGTAAAAATATCATCTTAATTTTATGATGGTACATGCACACAATTAATACTTAAGAAATACAGTCGCCAAGTTAATGTCCATTCAAATAATGGACTCAACTCCCTCCCCCTCTTCTCACACTACACTCGCTGGCTCTTCCCTCTGAGAAATTTTTGGGGGAAAACCAGGTAGTGTAATAAATAATACCTCAAACTAAAGTTAGGATAATATAAATGACATTACTGGATTCCTTGTAAGACCAGGAATATTTTGAATATAAATGTCATATATTTTGCACAAAAGATAACATATTTACTCAGAGTAAACATTATATCTAAAATTTGTATGTCTAATGCAAAATCTATGATGTTTATATTCAAAATGATCATCAAATTGTAAGAATTCCAGCAATGTAAATTATATTCTGGCCGGGTAATTTGTATGAATTTTTATAAAGCTAAAACAAATATCTTCCAGTTAATAAAAAAAAAAAATATTCTTCTGCGACACTATCTGTCTATCAAAGTACCCCCACCTTGCCTCCTCTTCCCAGCCCGCCAGATGGTGGGTCCGTCCCAACCCTCCCCCCACCCCCCACCAATCCTCCCTTCAAGAGATGTTGGGTGAAAAAACTAAATTTTAACATTTTGTATTAAATAATACCTCAGATTAAAGTTAGGATAATATAATTGACATTGCTTGATTCCTTGTAAAACCAGGAATATTTTGAATATAAATGTCATATATTTGCACAAAAGATAACATATTTACTCAGAGTAAACATTATATCTAAAATTTGTATGTCTAATGCAAAATATATGATGTTTATATTCAAAGTGATCATCAAATTGTAAGAATTCCAGCAATGTAAATTATATTCTGGCCGGGTAATTTGTATGAATTTTATGAGCTAAAACAAATATCTTCAGTTAATATAAAAAAAAATATTCTTCACACCGTGGTGCCAGGTGGTCGGTCGCCGGTCCCTCCCTCCCTCCCACCCCCCACCAACCCTCCCTACCAGATGAATGTGTGGGAATACCAGACTGTTTACCTTTTTAGTAATAAATAATAAATCAGACTAAAGTTTGGATAATTTAATTGACATTGCTGGATTCCTTGTAAGACCAGGAATATTTTGAATATAAATGTCATATATTTTGCACAAAAGATAACATATTTACTCAGAGTAAACATTATATCTAAAATTTGTATGTCTAATGCAAAATCTATGATGTTTTATTCAAAATGATCATCAAATTGTAAGAATTCCAGCAATGTAAATTATATTCTGTGAGTAATTTGTATGAATTTTATGAGGTAAAACAAATATCTTCAGTTAATAAAAAAAAAATATTCTTCACGACACTATCTGTCAATCAAAGTACCCCAACTTGCCTCCCCCCCTCTTCCAACCGCGCCAGATGGTCGGTCCCCCACCACCTTCCCTCCCTTCAAGAAATGTTGGGTGAAAAAACTAATTTTAACATTTAGTATTAAATAATACCTCAGATTAAAGTTAGGATAATATAATTGACATTGCTGGATTCCTTGTAAGACCAGGAATATTTTGAATATAAATGTCATATATTTTGCACAAAAGATAACATATTTACTCAGAGTAAACATTATATCTAAAAATTTGTATGTCTAATGCAAAATCTATGATGTTTATATTCAAAATGATCATCAAATTGTAAGAATTCCAGCAATGTAAATTATATTCTGGCCGGGTAATTTGTATGAATTTTATGAGCTAAAACAAATATCTTCAGTTAATAAAAAAAAAATATTCTTCACACTGCCAGGTGGTTGGTCGGGTCCCTCCCTCCCCCCACCAACCCTCCCTACCAGATAAATGTGTGGGAATACTAGACTGTTACCCTTTTTAGTGATAAATAATAAATCAAGACTAAAGTTAGGATAATATAATTGACATTGCTGGATTCCTCGTAAGACCAGGAATATTTTGAATATAAATGTCATATATTTTGCACAAAAGATAACATATTTACTCAGAGTAAACATTATATCTAAAATTTGTATGTCTAATGCAAAATCTATGATGTTTATATTCAAAATGATCATCAAATTGTAAGAATTCCAGCAATGTAAATTATATTCTGGCCGGGTAATTTGTATGAATTTTATAAGCTAAAACAAATATCTTCAGTTAATAAAAAAAAAATATTCTTCACGACACTATCTGTCTATCAAAGTACCCCACCTTGCCTCCCCCCCCTCTTCCAACCGCGCCAGATGGTCGGTCCGTCCCAACCCTCCCCCCCCAACCCCCACCAACCCTCCCTTCAAGAGAAAGGTTGGGTGAAAAAACTAGATTTTAACATTTAGTATTAAAAAATACCTCAGATTAAAGTTAGGATAATATAATTGACATTGCTGGATTCCTTGTAAAACCAGGAATATTTTGAATATAAATGTCATATATTTTGCACAATAGATAACATATTTACTCAGATTAAACATTATATCTAAAATTTGTATGTCTAATGCAAAATATATGATGTTTATATTCAAAATGATCATCAAATTGTAAGAATTCCAGCTATGTAAATTATATTCTGGCCGGGTAATTTGTATTAATTTTATGAGCTAAAACAAATATCTTCAGTTAATAAAAAAAAATATTCTTCACACCGTGCCAGGTGGTCGGTCACCGGTCCCTCCCACCCCCCACCAACCCTCCCTACCAGATAAATGTGTGGGAATACCAGACTGTTTACCCTTTTAGTGATAAATAATAAATCAGACTAAAGTTAGGATAATATAATTGACATTGCTGGATTCCTCGTAAGACCAGGAATATTTTGAATATAAAT